AACATTTAAAAAAACCCACAGCCAGGCCAGGGGTGGGGGGGGGGAGGGCGGGAGGAGAGAGCAGGGACCTCGTGCAGTTAAACACACAGCCTGATTCCAGGAACAGATTGCTGGCTCAACGCTGGCCCAAGATGCGATGGGCAGAGGAGGCGGATACAAACACAGTTCCCTGGTGTGATCCAGTCCTACCGCCCCGGCTCAGGTCTCCTCTTTGCAAACGTGGTGTCGCCAGCTCTGGGCTTCCTTGGGGCTTTTTATGATGGGGGAGCAGGGGAGCAGTTGTTCAGCATGTTTTAGGCACTGGCCAACTCACTCAGCCTAGCGAGGTCAGCAAAGCCAGCATGGATGGTGCAAAAGGGATCTCACCGGATAATGCATGGGCAGCGCCAAGGAAGGTGCTAGGGGAAGGTGACTCAGGAAACAGCGGTACTTTGAGTTGGGGAGATACCAAGGAGAGCTACTAAATCAGAGGGGAGGTGGGTCTGCCAGAGCAAGTGAGGGGGCGAAGCCAGGACTCCCGAGCAATATTTCCAGTTTGGGCAGAGAATGAAGCCTAGTGGTTACAGGAGAGGGGAACAGATGAGATTCATGACGCCTGGATTATGCACTTACCCCAGCCCAAGACCTGCTGCATAACCTCACGGGGCATCTCACCTCTACCCTTCTTTCAGTGGTGATAACTCCTTGCTAACCTGCCTTGAGCAGGGTGGCACACAAGTTCTCTGACATCAGTGATGATAATTAAGGAGATGCCCCTTAAGAGTTCAGCTGCTTGTGGCTGTGCCCTTTATCAAACACCTCAGCCTCCACCCCGCCAGAGGCTTTGCTTTTACAGGGAGCTGCATCCTTGACTTTCTGAAGCCGCCTCAGATCTTACCTCCCTGAAGAAAAAGCCATTATCCCCTGCCATGGTGCCTGCTGCCACCCTGGGTCTCCCTTCTCCTTTCACTGCTGCATTTTAATTGCTCTTCTCTAGCAACTGGGCTCCCCGTTTCCTTTCCAGGGTCCCATAAAACTCAGCACTCAAGGGCAAACGGGGCTCCATGCACAACGCAGGCATGGCTCTAGGTCAAGAGGAAAGGGCTCTAGAGAGGAAGGAGACCAAGCTTCCCGGCCTCAGCCCTGCCTTTGAACCCGCACCTTTCCCAAGGTGCAGGGCTCTGGAGGGCAAAGCAGGGCAGAGACACAACATGAAACAACTGTGAGAACAAGGTAGGAGACAGAAAGCTGATGCTGTCAAACGCTGTTGCTGATGAACTAAGCAGAGAACCAAGGTGAGATCTCATGGGTAGAGCCAAGGTCATGGGATTCAGAGCTCTGGCCTCTAGTCCTACCCTTGCCCCAGGTACAGTGGGGTGAATGACTCTGGTGCATGATCTGGGGAGAGACGGCAGTGAAGGATGAGGAGGAAAAAGGGCCAATGGAGGGAGACGGGAGCAAAAGGAGACAAAGAATGAGGGAATGGGAGGAAATAATGGACGAAAAAGAAGGAGAAATCCATAAGGAGAGAAAGAGTAGAAGGGGCACTGGGAAAGACAGTCCAGAGGTGAGCAGAGGGCTCCCAAATGCCTCCTTGCAGAACAGCACGGAGCGCCTGTGCCTGAGCCCTGCTGGATGAAGCTGCAGGAAGCCCTTGCTTGGAGAAAGGC